AGGTGATGTTCAAGTCAAATATATACATAACTAAGAAGAGAATATTTCTAACGATCTGTCTTAAGTGTGTTCTCTGTAAGAGTTTTTATTATATTTCAGTTAAATTGTTTCATGACTTACAAGTACTACATACAAATACTAAATTCGTTCACGTGTTTATATCATTGACAACTTTACATTCATGTAGATTTTGATGCAAGGAATACCCACCAGAGGGCAGCAACACCTCCTCTCGTTTCACAGCGATACATTTCCAAAATTCTCCCAGCTACTTTGTTTAATGCGGTTTTATCAGGTGTTGTATCAGTTTATCTTGATTTGACCATTATTCTTTCTTTGGTATTATTCTGCTGTGTGTGTGTCACATGAGAAAAACTACATTTCCCTTATAATGAACTTTTGAGCAAGGGTATATGAAAAAAAAAGAAAACAACCTGTACCATTGTAAATGTGTATGTACAATTAACACTCTGATCATATTATGTTTTGTTTTTGAAGCATTGTATAATGTTAGAAAAAAATCCTTTGTCTATAAATATGTATAGTTAGAAAACACTTTTTTGGGCCAAGATGTTGTCCTTGTTGCATCAATGACAATTACATAGTTATATTGTTAATGTCACTTGTGAAGACGGGCTTTATGTTCTCATTAATGCAGTTATTACATTATTAATTATAATAATAATAATTATTATTATTTGTGTCTTTTATATAGTCTGCTTTTTGTTGTCTGTGTTGATCTGGACCTTGAGTCAAGTTATATGAATTATTTTCCAATAAGCCACATAACGGCATTGGTTCAACTCTAACCACATCACTCTAATGACGTTCTTATTCATACCCGTATTAGTTGAGTCTAAATTTGGAAGGGGACGGTGCATGTTCATGTTGTTTTTATCAAGTTTCCAGAACATTGATTAAAAAAGTGATATTACATTACATTATATCGCAGTGGTGCAGTGCCATTCTTTTATATTGACTATTACAAGAAAACGTATAATACAACTGAAATACATAACGCAAAAGTGCAGATAACAAAGTGAAAACAAACTTGTTGGGACATGTACAATGTATGTTACTGCAGGAGACAGAAGGAGCCTCATCTCGCTGGCTCTCTGGCTCGCTTATTTAACATAACACTTCCTAATGCACTTAATCAATTCAATCATTATGTTTACAATGCAATAATACCTGATGAGTGTTTTGATCAATGACAAATATTGCATGTCCACGGATTGCCAGCAGATGTCCCCAGTTAAGACATTTATCATCAACATTTGCAATAACTTTTCCATACTACACTATCCACCTCACAGGTCTCAGGCTCTGGGTCATCGTTCTATCTTTCATGTTAGTCTTTCTTCAAGTGGGAATTGAGAGCATTACAAGGTGTTAATAGGCCACGCTGCTTTGTTGTGTTAAGTAAGTTCCCTCATCAGCAGCACATGACAGCGAGCCTGCAGTGGAGCCAATCAAAACGCAGCGCAGGTTTCGGTCCCGCCCCCTCGCTCTGCTCCAGTATAAATACTTATGTCTAGCGCTCAGTCAGAAACACATTCTCACTATCTTTAGGAGACTTCTACGGCTCCACTGGGAATACTATCTCATAACTGATTTGTTCTTTTACCGCAAGCGCTTTGGATTATTGATCTTTTGCAAGCATGATTCCTGAAGATAACTTTGGATCGGAGGTGATGGCCAACAGGTAAGATTATACGCACTTCTACTGTGGGGGAAACTTCATACCTGCACAAGCAATGCATGTGTGTGGTCATAGGAAACTACAGATATAGCCCCACATATGTCATAGACCATGCTCTAGAATTGCATCTTGTACAAGGTGGCTTACATCACAGTTTACTTAACTGCAGTGTTAGTGAATGCAAGACATGACACCATGGATGCATTTAAGATTAGACTCTATTTTTTAAAGATGCTTATTCAGTATTTGTACATAGATAATGCATTTCTAAACAGCATTGACACAGCTTTTTTGCACATACACATACATTGTATTTTGAATGCTAACATGCCATCTCGTTCTTTAGGATGCACTCTGCTGGGCTTGCCTTGGAGGAGCTCCTGGTCACAGCTCAAAGACAGGATTGCCTCACAGTTGGCATCTACGAATCGGCTAAACTCCTCGTTGCGTAAGTACTAGTTTGCCTTCTCTATGACATGTGAAACTTCTCTGCTTTCTCCTTTGATAAATGTGACCTAACCATGTGTGGCTTTTCTCTGCAGTGACCCTGACAGTGTGGCTCTCTGTGTGCTGGTGGTGGATGATGAAGAAGACATTGCGTTGCAGATCCACTTCACGCTGCTCCAGGCGTTCTGCTGTGACAGCAACATCACCATCCTCAGAGTGTCCGGGGTACAGAGGCTCCAGAGGCTGCTCCAGGCCGAGGACTGGAACCGCAACACGGAGGAGAGCGGGGACTTCCACTGCATGCTGGTCACGGTAAGTCCATCACGCCACAATATTCTCTATAAGTTACTCACAGACATCAAAAAATGGCACTGCTTTTATAAAGATAGGTTGATAACTTTAAAACCAATGGCACAACTTTGTAATGGTAGATCACAATTACTATACACACTGTCACTGTAGCTTATATGACAACTTGTATTTATTTATCTCATAGTCAACTGGAGACAAGCTCATAACTCCAGTACTATGGCTAATGCTATTATTATTATTATTAGAAAAGCTCTTCACTATCTCCAATTTGGTTTCGTCTACTAAATGACAGCTTCCTCTACATGTAGTTACATTTAGTTAATTCTTACAATGTAATAATGTGCTGTTGTCAAAGTCTAACGTTTCTTTTTGTTATTCCCAGAATCAACAAGCTGACCACTACAGACTGAAGGAGCTGGGGACGTATTGCAAAGAAAGCAGACGCATGGACCAGTGGATCCCTGAGTTGGCCCTGCAAGATCGCTGACAAGATCTCTTCATGCAAAAAACGAAGAAAACCCCTTCAAACATCTGCATCGGATGTTGATTAACTCAAGCCTTCAAAGCTGCAGTGATGACCTCAGGTGGCTCTGACTGTGAGGGCCACCTGATACCGGTACACAATGGAGCAGGACATACAGGAAATGTTACTGGAGGTTCTCCACATAAATGGTTGGTTTACTGGGTGTGCGTGCCGTGCGGACCAGTGGAGGAAGGCTGGCGGATCAAAGTCACACCCAAGGCCATGTCAGACCAGTGCAGCCTGTGGAGCACCCAGGAATGTCGGACATACTTTCACCGGTATGACATTCCTCTGGCGTGAGTCGGGAGAGCCGTTTGGAAAGACAAGAAGAAAAAGAAGGTGTGCGTAATTGAGTGTATGCCCGGTATGCATGCACGCACAATTGTGTCTTTATTTAGCAGAGGTTGGGCGTGTGGAGCAGACCTGCGCAGAAGCTGTGGAAACTCAAGCATGAATGGACATTATATTTGCTAGTGTTATAATGTGCCTCATTTGGAGAAGACTACCTACTGCAATACTTGAACTGAATCTCTTATGCATTTAATGTATTGATCTTTTGTAGCGCACTTTTCCAGTTATTTATTACATGCTTGAGATTCAATAAATTATTGTTTTTCTACAAAATCTGGTTTTAGTGTAGTTATGTCTCTCATTTGAAAAGTCCTGTTTTATTTAGAGCTCAGATGTTAAAACATATCTTTGTTAAGAAAAGGTGTTAAAACTCTGTTTTCCTCGGCTGGATAGCTCAGTTTGGCCAGGGATCAAATCCCTCCGGGGGCACAATAACACCAATATCCAGGCTGGGTCCTTGGCCCTTTCACGCTACTGCCTACTCACACTATCCAGTGTCAATGGAGCAATGAGATGTCAGATGACCTAACATTGCCTCTTTTTAATTAGTATAGATATTGTTTACTTATCTTGCACTGTGTGCTCCTCATTCCTACTGTTCTTGTCATGCAACATTGATATTTCCCTGCTATTTTCCACTGGGACGAAAAAATTAAACACTCTAAACTGCCAAACAAAGGCTCCAAGCCCTGACCAGCCACCGACAGATGTAAACTAAAGAGAATGACGCCAGATAGCTGAGAGTGAAAGTGCACTCTCAGTGGCAGGGTAACAACAGAAGCAGACCCACCAAGGAAAGTTCTGGAAGAGGCTCGGAAGGTAAAGGTGACAGTAGTGCCATGGTGTTTGGGGCACTCGGGGCAGTGACCCCAAAGCTGGAGGAGTGGGCACAGCAGATCCCTGGAACAACCTCGGAAATTTCGGTCCAGAAATGTGCAGTGTTTAAGTTGGAACAGAAAATATACTGCGCAGAACCCTCAAGCTCCCAGGCCTCTTAGAGGACCCGAGCTTAGAGAGGGATAACCGCAGTATCTTTGTTGTTCCTAGCACTGAACATTTCTGGCAAGGCCCCACCATCTGCATGGCTTACAACAGCTTTGGGGAAAACACCACTGGACGTTCTTCAAACTAATGGAAATACTGTATCATTGACGGCTCTTTTCTGTTCAGCAAGTGAACTCTAGTTCACTTGGGGCAAATTATGCCTCCTAGTTTAGATATGTCATGGAGCTAGGTCACACAAAGAGCTTTACAGTTTGATGTATGATTATCACATTTCAGAGAGAAATTAGTGAACTATAGTAACTACATACTCATTTGATGATAAAAAAAGTTATTTTTACATAGTACTGTAGTTAGTACATGATGGATGAGGAAACCAGTCATTATAATAGAATAACACAGAGGCACATTTCTTGCACCCATCAAGTCAAGTGTCCTTAAGATGATTGTGTAAACGCTAATCACGTCAGTAAGTTGATGACTAGAAAACCTTGTCACTTGGATTAAACTTCAGACTTCCTCAAGCTAATTCAAAAACCATTTATTGTTTCACTAACCCAAAGTGCAATGCTTTTAATTGCTCTAATTCACCACTGGGAGACTATGGGTCTGTTACCGGAATTCTGGGCTAATTCAGACAATGAGGGAAAAAATGCCTTGAACTTATACCACAACATTATTATTTTTGATACTCTGGGAGAGCTTTGGTTGTTCAGTTTCTTCCTGATCCTGAGGTGGGAGGTTGTCGAAGAAGCTGTCCGCATAGTTTAACATGAGGTCCACAGCCGACAGAAGCAGGATGTCCAGCTCTGTGTCCAGCTCCATCTCTGAGCAGTAGTTCTTCACTGGGACGATGCAGGACAGAGGGATGCCCAAAGACTCACTCACCTCACGGGCCTAAACATGCAATCATTCACATTATGATTTTTTATTCTGCTAATGTTAAGAGGAAAATGAGGAAATTAACACTTTGATGAACTTTTTCCACACTGTTCCGAACACTCTAAAACAACTTCAGTCATCACTTGTTCTTTTAAATCCATAAATAATAAATCTCATCATGCATTTGCAACATTTTGTGTTGAGCCTGTGTTTTCACCTTCATCTTTTCCCTGTCGTGACTCACAAGAGTACATCCAGGTCACGTAGGAAGGATTTATATACATAACAAAATCAAGAACTATATAAATAAAGGAATAGCAATTAACTTTGAAGTTTACTACCAAAGTAAAACATTGTTTCATAAGTAGTAAAAAGTAAAATGTACTATTTAACTTTTCTGTCTGAGATTAAAAGTGATGTACCAAACTCTTTGGAGGTATAGGAACAGTGAGTTTGCAGTTTGACTTTAGGTCGCTTACTTTATTTTGGAGGTAAACGCTCCTGTAGACAGACTTTACGTCTTTGGCCACTAGGGGGCAGGCTTCATCTATCTTGGTCATAAGTAAAACCTGGGGAACTCCTATAAAAGAGTGACCAATTAGAAAGCATATACACAAGTAAATTAACACGAGAGGCTAGTTCGGAACTGCCGCTGACCCATCTGATTGGCCTTCTTCCGGATGGTGCAAAACTTATTCAACAACTTCTGGCCCATCAGAGACACTCTGTTGGCATCCACCACGTAGACCACACAGTGGATCTTGTCTTTGAGGGACACGTGCTTCTTGTAACCTGGAGTTCCCTCTTGGAGTGATGAACTTTGACTGAACTGAAACATATAACCTCATTAGTCAAAGTTACAACACATTCATAATTGGACGGCTGATCATTCTAACAATACTAAACACATTTTGACACCTGGAACCTATTTTGACTCAGAAATGGATAATGTTTGAAATGGAAAGCCTGACAGCATTGTGGTTCTATGGTGTTAGAAAGGAAGCCCGAAAGTTAAAAAAAATTGTTTTAAATTAATGCAATTAAAACAACAAAATAGACTGTACCTGGTAGCGATCCTGAACATTTCCTTTGCAGATGCTGATGACATCATCCGGGTCCAAGCCTGAAGAGTCGTCCTCCTCCAGCCCCATGGTGTCACACAGAACCAGGGGTACAGGGGCCCCTCCTTTACCTGCATTTATAGTGTAGGTGCGGAACTGACAAAACAAATATACATTAAAAAAGCTGAAGATGGTGTTCAAACTGTTCTGAAAATGGTCACACCAAGAACATTTTCTATCCATCTCTATGAAGAACTATTCACAAAGTGTAGGGCTACAGTAGGATTGAAAACCAAGCTTTTAATGAGGTACATCCAAAGGAGGATTACATTGACAAAAATATATTTGTCATATGTTTTTCAAATAGGTAATATTTAAAATACGGACAAATATATAACATCTTGGTGTTCAGGGTTAATGATATTATGCAATTAAACGTGGCATATAGAACAATTACTAGATAAAAACAAAACCTGACAGGCTTGATTTTTGCTTGTTGAATACTGAAATGTGTACATATATGTAAGTACACTGTGGCCATGCCTTCTTGACTCCTGCCTGTTACCTGAGTAGTGACACTCTTGCCTGCAGTCCCTGCGATGGCCTGGGACGTCATGTTGCCTCTGAACACTGAGTTGATGGAGTTGAAGAAACTTGACTTTCCTGCTCCAACCTGTCCCACCATCAGCACCCGCGCCTCCTTCACGCCCCTTACATCTGGGCAGTATGACTGGATCTGCTTCTTCAGCTCCTGCCTTTTACTACAAGAAAATTACACAACATTTCTGTTCTACTCTTACACCAACGCTAACCCAGCCATCATGCCATCATTCATTCTTTCATCTTTTGGATGAAAGAATGCAGGAGGCACTCCTGAAGACCTTCTATGACTCTGTGGTGGCATCAGCCATCTTATACAGTGTGGTCTGCTGGAGCAGCAGCATCACAGAGAGGGACAGGAAGAAGCTGGACAAGGTCATCAGGAAGTTGTAATGACCATTGCTCCACTACATGAGGAAGGCTCTGGGGCCAGCGAAGGAAACGAAAGGTCTGTCTGCGGCTTGCAGTACGGAGGCGTGTCCGAGTAGTAGCGTGTCGGGTAGTGACGTCACTACCGACACGCCTGACTACATGAATTTTGAATCCACTTGAACTTCTGCAAGTAGATACTTGAAGAGAAGACATGCAGACCGTACGCAAACATAAGTGTCAACCCAACAACGTGTTATATTTATTTTTAGGCCGGTCCCTCCAGTTACAGTGTATAATGAATAACTCTGCACATCACCCTGATAGAAATGTTTTTTAAAGAAGTGAACTAATACAAGTGCAGAGAAAGCAATTTGTTTGGGTTCTTCTAAATCCATGTGCCATCGACATCAGGTACATATTAATAATCAGGTACATAGTATAAATATATACAATATAAATATTCCGCAAGTATTTGCATCGTTAAAATGGTAATAGAGAAAAACATAACAATTGACATGTTTTTACCAAGAACAGTGGAGAATTAGTTTAGGCAATTATGTGATGTTCCACACGATGTTCCTATCACATTTACAGAAGACACTGACCATAGTATTTGGATTGATGTTCCAAGATATTTGTGTTTCCTGAGTGTGCACAAATGGATGTTTATGTCTCTTTCATTCATCCGACTATTGTCAGTGATGGGAATCATGCTCCAGTGCTGAAGCAGTGGAACACGCCACTGTAACCTGTTTTTAAAACATGGCGGAGAACACAAAATGGCACACACATCGTGCAAAACCCATGGCAATGCACTACTGTTTTGTCCAAGGAGCAATTTTTAACTCTCGAATCCAGGGTGTTGTGCAATATTGTACCTTTGTTTCATTAAGTGATTGTCTAGAGTTTGTCAGAAAGAGACGAGAGAGGTACTTGATTTGAAAAAAAAAAACAACCCAAGCTCCCTCCCCCTTCCATTCGATTGGGTCCCGCTACAACTCTACCGAGTATAGCATGATTTATGATATTGTTTGTTTTACATTAGTAGGCCCGAGCGCCACCGATGCTGCACAGGGACTATTGTATGAAAGTGTGCATAAAACACTGATACCCCCTCAAACATAAACATGGTCATGGTACCTGTTTCCTGGACGAGTACACGTACTACAAACTCTGCATGCAACATTTTGATGTACAGAGACCATAAAGTCTTAAGTGCAAGTCACTGACAATATATTAAACCGGGAAGCACAACACCTTTTAGGGCTGCATTTGGTTTTGTGGAACTGTTGTTGATGAATTAACATCATTTTACTCTTATCTAGGTGACAGTTCACCACTCTGGCCGAGGGCATTTCACCTGCCTCAGCAAGAGGCAATTGAAAATTCATAAAAGGGGCCAAAGTATGAACCATGGTAAGATATTTTAAGATAATTAGATGGACATATTACACTGTGCCCTGCACAACAAATCTGTGATTGTTCTTATAATGGACATGGAGTTTTAAAATATTGCAAATTGATCTGGTGAGGAATTTACAGAGGAGGCATGCAGGGAGGCTGAAAGCTTTCCAAAGAGAGAGGAGATCTGCGCTCCGACCTCTGAAGCCTTTCCTCATGATTATAATAAAAGAGAATTGTTTTGGTGTTGAACTTATTCAGTGTCTACTTTTCAAGGTCCCATTTCAGATAACACAAATTCATAAAAAGCATGTCAGAAAATCCAGAAAACAAGTTGTTTCTTTTTGTTTAATCACCCTCTTCTACATACAAATTTTACAAAAACACAATGTAATGAAGTCTGCTTGTCCAAAGGCCAAGAGTTGGGCACAATAATGTATGGCATTCTTCTTGATGATCAGTAATGTGGGGAGACAAGGGTGTAGGAGTGTGTGGTGGTGGTGGTGGTGAATAATATCTTAACCTTGTAATGTACTTTTCATCCTGTGTTGACAAGTTTCTCAAAACGCCTCCTAACTTTATTCATTATTCCACACAGTGTGCACAGCTGGGTTGGAGGATGCCAGCTACTATTCTGTGCAATTGGCCCACCACCAAGCAGTCTCCACATGGTCCACCAGGTTGGTGAAGTGCATTGCTAAGAACATACCAAGACTGCACATGGGCAGCCAGATTTGTGAGCCACCACCATAAGGCCCCTTTTATAAATGAAAGTACACATTAGACATAAGCACTGGCATTATTTGACTCATAAACCCTGTTTGTCCTACTGCTTCAAATCCTATTGATTGATAGTCTGAAGTAATGGCAGCTTTTGTAGGCAAATTTGAACACTTTGAATATTTACAAAATTCGTCCATTTACCCCCAATAAATAATATTGACAATGACATGCGCCCATAAAATTCATTATTGCGCCATAAATTCATTGGGCATAAGATATACTCACTACTACTCATCAACTCGTATTATAATAATCCATGCTCATACACGCGGAGTGGCGTGTCGAGTATGTGACGTCCACTACCCGACACAGCCCACTACTCGACACGCCTCCGTACTGCAGGCGCAGACAGATACACTTGAAAAAGTCTTAAAAAACACGAAATCGATCTAATCCCAATTAAGACACAATGTTTTGCCTAATTTCAGCATTTTTAGACTATTTTCTCATCACTTTTCACTCTTTGTCTGCTCTGCCCACACAGAAACGCTCCGGGTCGAAGCCCTCCGAATCTGTGACATCAAAGCTAGACCCCGCACGTGGCCTTTCAATCAGCACAACGCACAAAACAACCCAATATTAATTAAAAAATGACTTTATGCCAAGTGAGAATACGACTTTGTGGACACGATTCGAACAGCGCAGCCGTAACAGAAACCGTCAATATGATCGCTTAGAAAGAACAACAATCCTAATAATAACACAACCCAAGGATCCGGTCGCACAAACCCAACACTGAGAGCCCAAAAGGCTTTCCTGGTTATCAGCCAGAAAATGGGAGTAAAAATATTTATCTAAAAACACCCAGACAATCCCCTTTAACTCTGCATCGAGAGAGGGGGAGGTGACTTTTGTTTTAAAATGACGTATATTCAAAGTGAGTAACCAGGAAACGGTGAGAACCTTCCATTCAGCTCCGTCAAAAAACAGCAATATAAAAATATACCGCAATGCAGAGGTTTGAACCGGGCCACGCGGGAAAAGGTGAATATGAGCCTTAGAAAGTGAAAGTAAAGTTAACACGGCTCAGTGCTTTTGTACCTGGTGCTAAAATTTTATTTCATACAAATTATACCAAAATAAAACCTGAAATGTTAAATGAGATTCGAACTGAACTCATTTGAAAACTATAGCTGATATTTGATGTTTTTTTATGTTAAGATTTGTATTAGTGAGAATTGACTATTTTCACTGTTTAACAAGAGAGAGACCAAGAGACCAGAGAGAGAGCCAAGAGAGAGACAGAGAGAGACCAAGAGAGACCAGAGGAGAACCAGAGAGAGCCAGAGAGAGGCCAGAGAGAGGCCAGAGAGAGAGGCCAAGAGAGACCAAGAGATGACCAAGAGAGACCAGAGAGTGAGACCTAGAGAGAGGAACCAGATGAAGACAGAGAGAGACCAGAGAGAGGCCAGAGAGAGAGGCCAGAGAAGACCAGAGAGAGACCAGAAGAGACCAGAGAGAGACCAGCGAGAGAGGCCAGAGAGACCAGAGAGAGACCAGAGAGTGCCAGAGAGAGAGTGGCCAGAGAGACACCAGAGAGACAACAGAGAGAGAGCCCAGAGAAGCCAGAGAGAGACCAAGAGAGACCAGAGAAGACCAGAGAGAGAGACCAGAGAGACACCAGAGAGACACAAGAGAGAACCAGAGAGAGAGACCAGGGAGAGAGCCCAGAGAGAGACCAGAGAGAGACCAGAGAGAGACCAGAGATAGAGACCAGAGAAAGACCAGAGAGAGGACCAGAGAGAGAGACCAGAGAGAGTCCAGGAGAGAGGACCCAGAGAGAGACCGAGAAAGAGACCAGAGCGAGACAGGAGAGAGACCAGAGAGAGACCACTGTGTCTGTTTGATTTCTGTATCCGTGTCGAAGATCCGACAACTTGGTAAAAAGTCCTTTGACGAGGCTAAAACATAGAATAGAATTGTGTGATGAAAACAGTTAAACATCTATTTATAAAACTTAAACTGCTGAAACCTAAAGTTTTTGTTTCGAGACTGAAATGTGTTTGTCGCGATAGAAAAAGTGTGAGAAAATGTGTTTATTGTGGATAAATCCGACGTCATCTCCCCAGGTCATTGTGCTGACGTGAACCACCAGTCCCTGTGAGTCACTATTGACCCTTATTGGGCTCAGACAGAAATATGTATAAGATGTTTACATGACTTTTGAATAGAGACCACAGCTTTATGTCTCGCACCAAATGTTAATGCTCTAAGAACCACGGGGAACTCCTGATGAGCACAGGGACTTGCCTCCTGCGTGACCTGAGGAGCACAGGGACTGGCCTCCTGCTGGGACTCTGAGGAGCACAGGGACTGGCCCTCCTGCTGGACTCTGAGGAGATCACAGGGGACTGGCCTCCTGCTAAGACTGAGGAGCACAGGACTGGCCCTCCTGCGGGACTGGAGGATCACGATGGGACTGGCCTCCTGCTAAGCCTGAGGAGTAAAAACACAGGGAACTGGCCTCCTGCTAAGACTCTGAGGAGCACAGGGACTGGCCTCCGGCTGGGAACGCTGAGGAGCACAGGG